CACAATGCTAATTTAATTAGCTCTGACAACTTAATTAGCCAGCACACCACTGGACTAGGATGTGGGATATTCAGGTTCAGTTCCCCCCACTTTATGTTTAACTTGGCGCCATGCTAAACACCATGCCTCCTCTTTGCCCCCCCCCCCCAATTTCCCGACTATGGGGCTGGTTGCCGTCAGCATGCGGAGCTGCAATGCAAAAATGTAATCAGCTTGATCAGAGCCAGGAAGTACAGAAGATTAGCATCTGCAATAAGATAAGAACGTTCTGTTCTATTAGGCGGGGTTGTTCTTTAAGGACTGATAGATCTTTATTCTCCTTTGTTGTCTAACGAAGGGAGCTTGGACTGACAGAAGCTTATGCCCTGGTAAATTGTGCTGATCTTTAAAGGTGCTACTGGGCTAGAATTTTGTTCTACTATGACAGACTACCCCAGCTACTCACCTGAAATGGCATACTCCATGTTTCTCCTCCATAGACCCCAAAGAGTGTTACAGTTCCATTGCCCCCTCCTCTATGCTATTTTCACAACAACAATCCTGTGAGGTAGGCTGGGCATACAATCACATTCTCGCTGCGAGTGTTCTGTGCCAATTTGGCTGTGTTCGAGTCAGGCCAGTGTTTGAGTCAAGCCAACCGGGTGACACTTTGCAGCTGCCTTTTGGCCTGCTAAATCCATGCAGCTGCAGCTCTGTCAGAGCAGGAAGTCTCCAGAAGAGCTTATTAGGACACGGCGAGGACATAATTTTGAAATTGTGGGCAGTCCCCAATCTAGCTATGTTAACTACCAGTCCTTCAGCTATTTCCCTATAGGGTGATCTTCAGATCTTCTTCTTAAGGCTGTGCTATGGACCTTGCTTATGCCAACACCCCTTTTCAGGTTCTATTGTGCTAGCCCACAAGATTAATTCTTCTTTGTAGAATCGCAAAGTTATCATGAGGAAGTGGTTTGGTAAGGACATCCGCGATCATGTTCTCAGTGGAACAATATTTTAGCTCAACAATTCCTTTCTGGAGGAGATTCAGCAATATCCCCTTTTGATCCTTTACTGGGGATTTAATCTCTCCCTCTGCTGCCTCCCTCCATTTTTCTGCTTAGTTAGGCCCCGGTCACATGGGGGAAATTGGCGCAGCCAAAGTGTGGCTTTTTAGAGCCGCACCAAAAGAGACGCGCGGCGGCGGGATCAGACAGATCCCCAGGGCCGCCGTGCAGTTGCTCCTCAGATGCCGGGGGGGGGGGGGAGCCCCGGGAGGGGGGGGGAGGCGACGGAGGGTAGAGCGAGGCAGCCGGCTGCGCATGTGTGCGCATGCGCAGTTCGGCCGGGAGCCTCGAATGCTGCTGAAGACAGGCGCGCCAGCGACCCCACGGCTGCGCTTGCTGTGGCGTTTCAGGTTGGTAGTACTCTTTCCTAGTTTTTTTTTTTTTTAATGCACGTTTTCGGGCTGAAGGGACGGATCGGGGACGGGGGTGCGCCGCTTCCCAGATGTTGCGGTGTGATTGCGCCCGTTTGCTGTGCCCCCGATCTGTCCCTCTTGCGGAGCAAAATCTCCCATGTGACTGGGGCCTTAGTGTGCATTTTGTTTCTGTCTTCCCACGTAGAGGGTTCAGTCTCAGTCTTTGCTTTGGTCATGTCGGAGCGTCTCCTTGGTGGTATGCCCTTGTTGGTTCTAGTTGATCATCTGATCTGTTGTCCTGTATCCCTATCTGCTTCCTGAGGTTCTCCTGGTGTATCATCTCCACAATCCACAGTGCTTAGAAGGATTTATTCTGGCTCCTGTACTTTATTTTGTTCCATCAGTGTAGATTAAGTGATGTTTACAGTGTAGATTCAATGATATCTACATGTTCTGCTGTTTTGAATTTTTCTTTTTTGTCTATGAAAACCACATTGCAAATTTTTATGGTTTGTGTCTTTTGGTCAAAAAGACCGAACATCCCACGGCATATCCAACAATGATACCTTGCTCAGTCCTTAGATCCAACTTGGACCGCATCTTTTTGGGTATGTAGGCAAAGGCTTTTGACCCAAACACCTTTAGATGTTTCATGCTGGGTTTTCATCCATACCATAGTTCATATGGCATAATTTTGGCTCCTTTCGTGGAAAGCCTGTTCTGTAGGTAAGGGGCTGTGTTGGTGGCTTCTCCCCAGTACATCTCTGGTAGACTTGCTTCTAGCAACATGCATCTACACATTTCTGTCAAAGATTGGCTTTTTCTTTCGGCTGCACCATTTTGTTCTGGGTAGTAGTGCATAAGAACATAAGAGAAACCTGAGCCCACTGGGGAGGGCGGGGTATAAGTATGAATATAAAATAAAATAAAAATAAAAACCAATGTTGGATCAGGCCAATAGCCCATCCCGTCCAACACTCTGTGTCACACAGTGGCCAAAAATACCAGGTGCCATCAGGAGGTCCAGCAGCGTGGCTAGGACACTAGAAGGTCTTCCATTGTTGCTTCCCCCAAGCACCAAGAATACAGAGCCTCACTTGCCCCAGACTGAGAGTTCCTATCTATACCTTGTGGCTAATAGCCACTGATGGACCTCTGCTCCATAAGTTTATCTAATTCCCTCTTGAAGCCATCCATGCTTGTAGCCGCCACTCCCTGTGACAGTGAATGCCATGTGTGAATCACTCTTTGGGTGAAGAAGTACTTCCTTTTATCTGTTCTAACCAGACTGTTCAGCAATTTCATTGAGTGCCCAGGAGTTCTTGTATTGTGAGAAAGGGAGAAAATAACTTCTTTCTCTGCCTGCTCTCTCCCATGCATAATCTTATAAACCTCGATCATGTCACCCCTCAGTCGTCATTTCTCCAAGCTAAAGAGCCCCAAGCGTTTTAACCTTTCTTCAAAGGGAAAGTGTTTCAACCCTTTTATCATTCTAGTTGCCCTTTTCTACACTTTTTTCCAATGCTATAATATCCTTTTTGAGGTGTGGCGACCAGAACTGTACACAGTACTCCAAATCAGGCCACAGCATTTTTTTTTTTACAAATTTATTTATGATTTTCCATTACAAAAAAAGATAACAATATTTATAATTTTCATTACAAAACCACAAAAAAGAGAGTAAGCACAAAAATAAAAACCAAATAGAAAAGTAAGAATATTTTGTATATGAAATATATTTATGGAGTTACACATTTTCCCCCATCCATTTATTAACTCTAAACCATCTTTTTTGAAAAGCCTTATCCTCTTTACCTGAAAGAATCATGTTCAACTTGTCCATTTCTGCCCCATCACAGATTTTTATAATCAACTCCTCTCTAGCAGGTAGGTTTTCAGATTTCCAACACTTGGCACCCAATATCCTGGCTGCAGTAAGGATATATGACAAAATACATAGTTCATCATGCCTATATCCATCTAGTATCATATTAAGTAAATAGATTGAGCAAACTTCAGAGGACAGCGGAAGACAGAAGGGCCTGGCGGGATCTGGTCCATGGGGTCGCGAAGAGTCGGACTCGACTGTGCGACTGAACAACAACAACAAATAGATTTCTGGTACTAGCGGCTATTCAATGCCTATAATCTCTATTCTCGGGCACCCTTTCCACACCTCTATATCTCAGTTTTGCATAGGATAGAGGCTGTCTTGGTTTCCAGCGGAGAAGAATCTGGCCACCAGCTGAGGCATGAGTAATGCTGTGCCGAACAGTACAGTTGCTTCATTGTCCAGCAGTCGCGTGGTGTACTTTGCATGTCCAGGGAGGCAGGCTTCCTCCCTCCCCTCCTCCCCAGCTTTTGGCCTTTTAGGCATCAGAGAAAACTGCCCTGGAGGGGATTTGGTAAACTGATTCCCTGCTCTATTTTTAATTTTATTGCTGACTTTGTATCTTACTTTTTGGGTCACTCTTGCTGCTGTTTTGTTGCTGGTTTATGACCGATTGCTGGTAGTTGCTTTTAAGAACATAAGAACATAAGAGACGCCAATGTTGGATCAGGCCAAAGGCCCATCCAGTCCAACACTCTGTGTCACACAGTGGCCAGAAATACCAGTGCCATCAGGAGGTCCAGCAGTGGGGCCAGGACATTAGAAGCCCTCCCACTGTTGACCCCCCCCCAAGCACCAAGAAGACAGAGCATCACTTGCCCCAGAGCCCCTCGCTATACCTTGTGGCTAATAGCCACTGATGGACCTCTGCTCCATATGCTTATCTAATTCCCTTTTGAAGCCGTCCATGCTTGTAGCACCCACCACTTCCTGTGGCAGTGAATTCCATGTGTTAATCACTCTTTGGGTGAAGAAGTACTTCCTTTTATCCGTTCTAACCCGACCGCTCTGCAGTTTCATGGAGTGCCCACGAGTTCTTGTATTGTGAGAAAGGGAGAAAAGTACCTCTTTCTTTACCTGCTCTTTCCCATGCATAATCTTATAAACCTCGATCATGTCACCCCTCAGTCGTCTTTTCTCCAAGCTAAAGAGCCCTAAGCGCTTTAACCTTTCCTCATAGGGAAAGTGTTCCAACCCTTTTATCATTCGAGTTGCCCTTTTCTGCACTTTTTCCAAAGCTATAATATCCTTTTTAAGGTGTGGTGACCAGAACTGCACAGTTTTGCTTCCGGATGTTTAGTTTGTGCATTGTAGTCTCTCTTTTTTTTATAATAGGGGCTTAATTTCTCTGCATGCTGCCTTGAATACCGTTTGAGTAGACAGGCAGGGATTGACGTTCCCTCAATTAGAAATGTTTATGTTTCTTAAGGCTTAGTTCCAGTGATCGCTCAGCCAATGAACGATTCATCTGGTGGAGAAGAGGTGCACGCCCTTCTCCCGAAAATCAAGCAGACGCTCCACTCAGAAAGCTGCCTGTACAATTGCCCAGTTTGTGTGCTTCTTTCCACTACAAAAGGAGTGGTCCATTGAGACTCTGTTTTCACATTCACCTTGGAGGTGGTGAAGATCTTAAGCCACGGCCTTCCTTTTTTGGGGATTCTCCAACATTCCACTACTGGGGAGATTTGTGTAACGCCATTCTTTCTCCTGCAGGCTTGAAGGTTCTGTTGTGGCTCCTCTTCATACTTCCCTGGTCTTTGGGATTCAGCGCTGACCCCCGCGCCCCCCACCACGAGGGAGACGCCAGTGAGACAATGTGGTCCAGGCAAGCCTGCGTGTTGGGTTGGTGGACCCTCTTGCTCCAGATGGCGCATGGAGTGACAGGTGAGGAGAGCCTATGTGCCGGATGTCAGTGGAAGAGCATGCTGATGCAGTAGCGAAAGAACTGGGTTGGTTCTGGGGTGGGGAGCCGGAGTGGGATGAACTCAGCAAGGGCTTGAGAGTGGTACCCAATGCTCCCTCTAAGCTTTGGAGTCCTGTGAGTAAAAATTCTACTTTGTGAGCTACTGGCCTTAAAGTCGTGAGCAAACAATTTGGCTCCTGCATAAGTTAGTTTGCTCTGGAGCCATCCTTCCCGAGTGAAGACACAAATGTGTGAGCCGGAGGCTAAAAAAATGTGAGCTAGCTCACACTGACTCAGCTTAGAGGGAACATTGGTGGTACCTGTCAAAAAGATCTCCGGATTGAAGTCTGCCACAAACCGAATGTAAGTTGGCAGCTGCCAAGAAAAAAAGGTGGGTGTGATTTTGGGGCTGTGTTAATAAGAGTGCAGTCGCCAGGCCACGAGAAGAAAGAGTTCCGTTCTGCCCTGTGCTAATTGGACCTAACCTGCAGCTCTGTGGGCAGGTCTGGCTCCAACGCTTTAGGAAGACAAATCAGAAGAGGTTCAGAGGAGAGCAACAAAGACGGTTGCCAGTCTGGAGAACAGGAGGACAGCTGAAGGGACTGGGGAAATTTAGCCTGGAGAAGAAAGGGGGTGGGGAGGGAGACATGAATGCATTCTTCAAATACCAGGGCTGCTCCATGGTAGAGGGCCAAGACTCGGTTCTCTGAGGAACCAAACAGCAAGACTAGATCTGGGAGTCTTCCGTTACTGAGGTTAGAGGTCAGTTGAACATCAGGAGAAACCACCTAATGGCGAGAACAGTTTAGCAATATGCCCAGTTACCGAGGGGTGAAGGTTCTTTCCAGCTGGAGTTCTCTGAGAGCAGGCTGTGGAAATGCTCTACTTATGGATTTTCTGTATTGAGCAAGAGGCTGGATCGGATGATTCCCTAAGGCTACAAGCATGGACGGCTTCAAAAGGGAATTAGATAAGCATATGGCGCAGAGGTCCATCAGTGGCTATTAGCCACAAGGTATAGATAGGGACTCTGGGGCAAGTGATGCTCTGTCTTCTTGGTGCTTGGGGGGGTCAACAGTGGGAGGGCTTCTAGTGTCCTGGCCCCACTGGTGGACCTCCTGATGGCACCTGGTATTTCTAGCCACTGTGTGACAGCGTGTTGGACTGGATGGGTCTTGGCCTGATCCAACATTGGCGTCTCTTATGTTCTTATGTTCTTATCTTCCATTGTGGCCATTTTCTCCAGGCGAATGGATCCAGGGCTGCTGCAGGGACAGGCCTAGCCAAGTGCCCGTGACTCTTCTTTCAGCCTCTGAGAATGCACTAGGTTTCAGCCTTGCTCCCTTTAGGTCCCTCGAGTCTCTGTCGAAGGAGACTGTAATGAAATATTCAGAAGAGAACGTAATAAATTATCCAGAAGAACCGCCTGTCCCTCTTTTGAAAGATCATTCTGGTATTCACTTGGATCTGCTGACAGGCAGTTTAGAAGTCCCGGGAACAGAGGCCACAGCCTCAGTCATGGTTTTCGTAGGGCTGCATTGCTATTTTGGCCCCGGGTCCAGGTGTATCCAAAGAGGGCAGCCCGTGTGCTGAGTCAGGCTACTTTCTTTTTTTTTTTTTAAAAAAAAACAATTTTATTAGGATAAGTAAGATCAAACATCATATAACAAACTCTCACATATCCTTTTGTCTCAGTCTCCCCCCTCCTCTGACTTCCCACAGTGCTCAAACTTCTAATACATTCTCATATTTTTTCTCCTTTCCCAATGCTTTAATAATATATAGTTCTCTCGCAATGTTCCCTCTAAGCTGTGAAGTCCTGTGAGCAAAAATGCTACTTTGTGAGCCGCTGGCATTAAAGTTGTGAGCGAGCGACTAGGCTGCTGCATAAATTACTTTGCTCTGGAGCCCTCCTTCCTGCGCTGAGGTAAAAATGTGTGAGTCGGAGGTTAAAAAACTGTGAGCTGGCTCACGCTAACTCAGCTTAGAGGGAACACTGCTCTCAGGTAACGTATCTTTTTTTATCTGTTGATCTATGTATGTTTAAATTAAAATGTCCTTCCCACTTTAAACTGAGTCAGGCTGCTTTCTGACATGGAGGCCAGTCTCGGTCCGTCTCCTCAGCTCTTGAGCCGCCCGCGATGAGGCATCCGTCACTCCGTTGGGCTCCAGGACCTGTAATTCGGGTCTAGCCTCTTCAGGCCAGTCAGTCAACACGTTTTGCCTCATTTAGAAATCCCCCAGCCGCGGCGCTTTGGGCTTCTTTCCTACCCATAGCTGTCTTTTTGTTTTCTGTGAAGGCTTCATTTCCTGTCAACAGCATTCCCACATGCGCACCCCCTCAAGGGCCCTTTTTTCCCTACCCCACCTGGTTTTGCTTCCAGACATTCCCACTGCGGTTGCGGGCTCTCCTGGCAAAGCTATTAATCACCCGCATGTCTGTCTTCCGTCTCTGGGGAAGAAATCTTGTCCCTGTTCTAGGTTGTGCTCTTTTGTTTTATTCAGTTCCCCTCCAGTGACATAAATCTCCAGGGCCAAAACACACACGATGTTGGCAGTTTTCTTTCTAAAAAAACATACAAACATACAAACCTCTATCACACACACACACACCCCTTAGTCGTCTCTTTTCTAAACGGAAAAGTCCCAGACACTTTTAACTTTTTAATTAATCAGACAGGCCGGCACATTTTTGAGTTGGTCCAAAGGTTTTCTAGCCAATTTGTTGACTCAGAGATTGCAGCCCTATAAACAACTGATCATCTATGGCAGTGATGGCGAACCTTTCAGAGACCGAGTGCCCAAACTGCGACCCAAAACCCACTTATTTATCGCAAAGTGCCAACACGGCAATTTAACCTGAATACTGAGGTTTTAGTTTAGAAAAAACAACTCATACATTAACATAAGATGATCCAAACAAAGTAAGGAAAGCAATCCCAAATGCTCTCATTTACTTAAAATTATTTGGCAGGGAATTCCACACTTTAATGACGGTTTGGGCCTGGCTGGGGCGATGGCACGCGTGCCCGCTGAGAGGGCTCTGAGTGCCGCCTCTGGCACGCGTGCCATAGGTTCGCCACCACTGATCTATGGCGAGTGAGAATTCTCAGCAGGCAACCCCATGGGAAACCTGTAGAGAAATGGATATTTTGAGTACACTAAAATCAGGTATAGCAGGTGGAGAGTCTAACTTCTGCTGGGTCATGTGATTCTTGGTGAAAAGGAAGAAGGGGAGAGAAAACTAGTTCTCTTAAGCTTTTTTCAAAATCTTGTTAGAAGTTATAGGACGAACATAGACTCATGAAAGGGTCTATAGAGATCATCTAGTCCAACCCCTTGCTCAGTAGAGGATCAGCCTAGCGCATCCCTGACAAGTGGTTGTCCAGTTGCTGCGTGAAGACTACCGGGGAGGGGAAGCTCACCACCTCCCTTGTCAGCCGATTCCACTGCTGAACTACTCTTATTGTTACAACTCCCCCCCCCCGATATCCAGCCAGTACCTATCTGCCCATAATTTAATCCCCTTATTGTGAGTCCTCTGCTGCCAACAGGAACAGCTCCCTGTGCCCTCCTCTAAGAGTGACAGCCCTACAAGCACTTCAAGTGAGCCATCCTGTCCCCCCTCAACCTCCTCTTCTCCACACTAAACATTCCAAAGTCCCTCAGCCTTTCCTCACAGGGCTTGGTCTCCAGGCCCCCGATCACCCTCGTCGCTCTCTTCTGCACCCGCTCCATTCTGTCCACGTCGTTTTTGAAGTGAATTTTTTTTTTACATCTAGCTTGACATTTGTGATTTTAGATTCCAATTTGGATTCCAATTGTAGCCTCCAATCCAAACAACGGAAAAATTGTTACCTTCATTTGTGTGGCCTTTCTGGAAAGGCCAGACTGGCCATGGTTCGAAACCGGATCCTAGGCTGGGTGAACCTTTGCTCTGATGCAGCAGAGCAATTCTGATAAACAATTGAGATGAATTTACCTAGCGCAGGTCTATCAGTCACTGTCAACAGTAGGGTTGCCAAATCCGAAAAACGTACCGGCGGGGGAGCGTCCTGCCGGTCCGGGAGCCGTTTGCGGAAGCGCGCGCGCGCCGCCAGAACGTCACCCGGAAGTGACGTCACACGCTGGGCGGGGCCACGCCATTTGAGGGGAAAACAGAGTTTTCCCCTCAAATGGCGTGGCCCCGCCCCCAGCGTGCGATGTCACTTCCGGGTGACGTGCACGCCGGGGCGGAGTTCCCCCCGGGCCCCGATTCCCCGGCGTCAGGTAACGGGCCTCCGGGGCGGGGGGAATTCCGCCCTACCGGGGGGGTTGGCAGCCCTAGTCAACAGTGACAGCGAAAAATGAAACCTCCATGGATGGAGGCAGTTTACTAGACGCCAAGCCACAGTCAGCTCCATGCCTTGCTTGTGAGATGTCTGGAAGTATCTGACAGGCTACAGCTGGGAGCAGGTCCTGAAATGAAGTGAATGTTAGTCTCACCTATCAGGGCTCTTCTTATGTTCTGAAGTCTCAAAATATTCCAGGCTGGGGAAAAACGTAATGCATAACTTAATGGTTTATAGGATTTAGAAGACAGATAAAATGCTTGCGCTTGCGAGACAGAGAATGGGAGCAGGCTCCTCAATTTCCCCCTGGGCTCCTGGAGATTTTGGAGTGGAGCCCGGGGAGGGTGGGGTTTGAGGAGGGGAAGTATACTGAGGTATATTCAGTAGGGTATAATGCCATAGTCCACTCTTCAAAGCAGCCGTTTTCTCCAGGGGAACTCACATCTGCCTAGAGATGTGAAGGCCCGGAATAATTCGGGAAAAAAACGTTTCTTTCCTGAAGCCTTTTTGGGTTTTTTTCCGAAAAATTGAAAAAAGAAAAGAAAATTGATTTTGGAACGTTTTATTTTAACATGATGAATAAAATATTTTAAGACAAGGTGTTCAAATATTTTCCAAATCATTTCTAATATATATATATATATGGTATCAGATTGATCTAATTTCTGTGCACTGAGGACAAGCAAGTCCTAGGTTACAAACTGAACCCTCCAATGCAAGAACAAGATGCATTTCTTCCTTTAGGAGGTGCGATTGTCAGAAGAAAATAAAAACGTTTCAGTTTTGTTTTTGCATGTGGGTGGGTATTCTGTTTGAAATAATTGTTTGGATACACTATATTTTTAATATGCTAGTTGTGATAATTTCATGCCAAGTAAAAACGTCCATAGTCATATTTTATGTTCCTAAAGTAACAGAATGACTTTCAGTCTAGAAAAGACAAAAGAAATGCTAATGTAGCATTTTTTCAATTTTTCCGAAAATTTTTGTTTCCCCCGAAAAAAACCGGGAAAAAAACCTGGTTTTTTTCCGAGCTTCAAAATTTTACATCTCTACATCTGCCTGGAGATCAGTTGTAATTCTCGAAGATCTCCAGGTCCCACCTGGAGGTTGGCACATCTGGCGGCTGCTTTCCCAAGGTGGTTGGATTTTAGGGTGGTAGGACGTGTGCTTTGATACAGAAGATCCCAGTATTCAGTTTAAAAGGATTACGACAGGTGTTCTCTTTTTTGGGGGGTGGGAGACACTTGTTCTTTACCTGAGACCTAGGAGAGCAGCTGCTATTCAGAGTAAAGCCGCCTCCTATAAGGCCGTGACTCAGTGACAAATGCTTTTGCTTTTCAGGGGTCCCAGGCAATGTTCCTTCTAAGCTGTGGAGTCTTGTGAGCAAAAATTCTACTTTGTGAGCGACTGACATTAAAGTTGTGAGCGAGTGATTTGGCCACTGCATAAATTAGTTTGCTCTGGAGCCGTTGTTCCTGGGCTAACACAAAAATGTGTTAGCCGGAGGTTAAAAAACTGTGAGCTAGCTCACACTGACTCAGCTTAGAGGGAACACAGGTCCCAGGTTCAATTCCCTCCACTCTTTAAGAGCTTCGTGCAGTAGAACTAGGAAGGTTCTCGGCCCAAGACCGTAGAGAGGGTGAGTAGACAAAGCTCGACGAAGACAGCTGTGTAGGTACACCAAGCTGGTCGAATGCTTCAGCCCCAGTGCACGGAGTAATACCAATTTTTCTCCTCGGCATTGTATATTCCCACCAGGTGGGCTTCCCTGCAACCGGAAGTATTTTGGCCGCGATTCCATGGTGTGCGTGTGCAACAGCACGTACTGTGACACCCACGACCCTATCTCCCTTCCACCTGCCGGTTTCTTCGTCAAGTATGAAAGCAGTAAGAGCGGAAAGCGGCTGGCACAGAGCCAAGGGACGTTTCAGGACAGGACGTTCATGCCAGGTACCTACTTGTGCTGTGTGCGTGTGTGCGTGCAAGTAACCTGATCTACAGGGGTCGTTTTGTAGAAAAAGAGCTAGGGGAACTCATTAGCATAACTCATTAGCATATGCCACACCCCCTGACATCACCGGAAGTGTGTCATGAGGCCATACCCCCTGACATCACCGGAAGTGTGTCATAAGGCCACACACCCCGCCCCCAACGGTCCCGGCCGCCGCCGGTCCTGTCTCTAGTTCCACTGCCAAGCCCCATGAGGGGCCCGGCGGTGGACCTGCAAGGCCAGTGGGAGTGCGAGGAAGCCCCGCGAAGGCCCTCCCTGGCCCCAGGCAGGCAGGGGTGGGGAGAGGCAGGGAGGAAGCAACTTACCCTCCCTCTTCTCCTGCCTCCTCCTGGCTGAATGAGGGCCGGAAGCGGGGCGGCCGGAAGCAGGGGGCGGGGCTTCGTCATGTGCCCCGCCCCCCGTACCTCACCCAGGGGAACTGCGATCCCCCATGATCCCCCCCGAAATGACCTCTGCTGATCTAGGCCAAGTCCCTCAGCACCTTAAAGGCTTTGAGAGTTGAGTGTGGATCTCCCACAATGAAATTTATAGCCGAAATTCGTAATGGCGTGCTTTGTAAACCGAATCTGTGTAGCTCAATAATGCAGGAAAGTATTATGAGTCAGGTGAGGCTTACCAGTCAAGCCTAATTTCATTGTGAAGAACTAGCTTGGGAAGCAAAACTGAGATTCAGCATATGTGCAGTGTCAAATGAGTTTTCAATGTCAAATGTATTTCTAGCCCCGATCCCGGATGCAAAGGGCCTCAGAGTGTAGAGGGATACAAGTTGGGGTGCTGGCTACAAGTTACAGTCTTGTTCGTCTGGTTGTGCTTTTCCACCTTGGTTGTTAGCCCAAATTTCATGCCCAGGTCTCAATTACAAGGAAGGTGGTCAGGTTGGCCGGGGGTGTGTGTGCGTGTGTCCTCCGGGCTTGGCCTAGGTGCGACAGGAGGAACATCTGGCTGCTTCTGCAGCTTTTCTGGCCCATTAGGAAGCAGGCTTAATGCAATGTCATTCCGATGCTTATCTTTTTATTAAAGTGAGATAAAGGTAACGGTTCCCCTTGCTCGAAAGCCAGTCGAGTCTGACTCTAGGGTTGCGGTGCTCATCTCCGTTTCAAAGCCGAAGAGCCAGCGGTGTCTGAAGACGTTTCCGTGGTTATGTGGCCGACATGACAAAACACCAAGGCGCACGGAACGCTGTTATCTTCCCACCAAAGTGGTACCTATTTATCTACTTGCAATTTCTTGCTTTCGAACTGCTAGGTTGGCAGGAGCTGAAACTAGAGACGGGAGCTCACTCCGTCATGCGGCACACTCGGGTCTCGAATGGCTGAACTACCGGCCTTCCACAGCCTGCAGTTCAGCGTCTTAACCACTTGAGCCACCGCAGCTCCCTAAAGCGAGATATGATACTGTTAATTATTTTCTTTAGCCATATGAATTTCTTATGCAAGCGCAGGGAATCTTCCAAGGAAAACCATAGGTAGAAGAGCCAGAGATCGCTTTGGGCTACCTAATTATGTGCTTTTGGAGAACGCAGAAGAGAGGGAGGGAGTGGGGGATTCAGGGCAGCATTGTTGGAATTATTTATGTCCCATCACGCCTCCTAATAGTCCCGTTAACGAAAGAGACAAGCAGGCAGGGGGATAGCTGTGTGTGTATAAAGCAGAGACAAAAGAGCCAACCAGAGACAAAAGAGCCAACCATCGTGCAATAATACAATGTATGATACAGTTGGACATTTGACATGTCATAAAAATGACTTGGTCTATCTTGGTCAAACTTAAAGAGTCAGAATGGTATTAGTCAGGGCTTTTTTGGTAGAAAACCCCCAGCAGGAACTCATTAGCATAACAGGCCACACCCAACAGCAGAAACTCATTAGCATATTAGGCCACACCCCGGATAACACAGCTCATTAGCATATTAAGCCACACACCCATGTTACCAGGGGTGTGGTCGTCCAGCCACACCCACCTTTTGCTTCTTGTTCTGTTTAACTTGTTTGTGGTCAAAATCCAGGGCTTTTTTTGTAGCAGGAACTCCTTTGCATGTTAGGCCACACACCCCTAATGTAGCCAATCCAAATGAGTTTCTGCTGTTGGGCTTGGGTGTGGCCTATTATGCTAATGAGTTCCTGCTGGGCGTGGCCAACTCGGGAGCCAGCCGGAACTCCGTTCCTGTGCGTTCCTGCCCAAAAATAGCCCTGGTATTAGTGACTAGAGAGCAAGGGTCCCCAACCTTTTCCAGCCTGTGGGCACCTTTGGAATTCTGACACAGGGTTCAGTCACAAAATGGCTGCCACAGGAGGCGGGGAGTGAGGCTAGGCATCACCTTCAGGGTCAGGGAGTGAGGTTATGTCAGGGAGTGAGGCCATGCATAACTTTAACAATAGCTCTTCCGCATTTCAGACCAAAGCTCGGCTTAACACACTGCCTTTAAAAATGAACTTATCGTTTCAAAATCTTTTCTTGCATACAGACAGCTTACCTTACTTCCAGTCCCGCAATGAAGATCCTTCTGCTGTTGTGGCAGCAGGGCTTTTTTTGTGGAAAAAGCCCAGCAGGAACTCATTAGCATAATAGGCCCCACCCAACAGCAGACACTCATTAGCATATTAGGCCACACCCCTGACAGCACAGCTCATTGGCATATTAGGCCACACCCCCATGTTACCAGAAGTGTGGTCATCCAGCCACACCCACCTTTTGCTTCTTACTCTGTTTACCTTGTTTGTTGCCAAAACCCAGGTCCTTTTTTGTAGCAGGAACTCCTTTGCATGTTAGGCCACACACCCCCAATGTAGCCAATCCTAATGAGTTTCTGCTGTTGGGTGTGGTCTATTATGCTAATGAGTTCCTGCTGGGTGTGGCCAACTTGGAAGCCAGCCGGAACTCCGTTCCTGTGCGTTCCTGCCCAAAAAATAGCCCTGTGTGGCAGCAGTTGCTAAGGCAACATTTTTAAAAAATTGGCACTGACAATGAGATCTTTTGTGGCTGATAGCCCTGCTGGGCAGAAGTTTCACCTAGACTTGCCACTTTTAAAAAACACTTGGTGGGTGGGCACTGTGTTGGGCATCCCTGTGTTGGGCCTCAGACTAGGATTATGGAGTTCTCAGTTTAGAAGAAGGAGGTTAGTTTCCATTTCCTGCTTTTCTCTGGCCTAAGGAGTCTCAAAGCGCCTTACAGTCGCCTTCCCTTCCTCTCCAGGCACCTTGTGAGGCAGGTGGGGCTGAGAGAGTACTGAGGGAACTGGGACTGGCCCAGGGTCACCCAGCAGGTCTCATGTGTCTCAAAGCGCCTTACAATTGCGGCTTACAATAGTAGAAATATTGGGCAAGAATGTCTGAGCATTAACTTTATTAGAATAACTCCCTCCATATTTATTTATTTTTAAAAATCCTGTCCTGTCTCTTCAGAAAATTGCCTCGAGGCATTTCACAAAGTAAAGCAGTTCAACAAAATCTTAAACTAACAGCATAAAACCAAGTTAAGAAAAGAAGAAGAAGAGATTGGATTTATACCCTGCCCTTCACTACCCAAGGGAGTCTCAGAGCGGCTTACAAACCCCTTTCCCTTCCCCTCCCCACAACAGACACCCTGTGAGGTAAAAGAAGAAGAAGAAGAAGAGACTGGATTTATACCCCGCCCTTCACTACCCAAGGGAGTCTCAGAGCGGCTTACAAACCCCTTTCCCTTCCCCTCCCCACAACAGACACCCTGTGAGGTAAAAGAAGAAGAAGAAGAAGAGACTGGATTTATACCCCGCCCTTCACTACCCAAGGGAGTCTCAGAGCGGCTTACAAACCCCTTTCCCTTCCCCTCCCCACAACAGACACCCTGTGAGGTAAAAGAAGAAGAAGAAGAAGAGACTGGATTTATACCCCGCCCTTCACTACCCAAGGGAGTCTCAGAGCGGCTTACAAACCCCTTTCCCTTCCCCTCCCCACAACAGACACCCTGTGAGGTAGGTGGGGCTGAGTGAACTCTGACACAAACTGCTCTTTCAGGAACAGCTGTGCCAGAGCTTGTGACTGACCCAAGGTCACATCAGCAGGTGCAAATGGAGGAGTGGGGAATCAAACCCAGTTCTCCCAGATTAGAGTCCGCACACTTAACCACTACACTAAACTGGCTCTCGACATAAGCCTTTACATAAGGACATTGTCAGAGGCACAGAGCCCTCACGCTAGAAGTGACTACCAAAACAGCTTAAATAAAGCTGAACGCCCTCAGTTAAAAGCCTAGATTAAAAGAAATACCTTGGCCTGGTAAGACACTAGGGTAGGTGTCAGGTAGGGCTGCCAAGCCTCTGCTGGGAAAAGGGAAAACCTGCAAGTCATAGAACCTTAGAGTTGGAAAGGACCTCCAGAGTCATCTAGTCCAACCCCCTGCACAGTGCCGGAAATCCACAACTACCTCTGTGGAGTCTGTCCTCTCTAGGAACTGCCAGAAACTCAGTGGGTTTTATCAAAGAGTTTCCAGTGATTCCTAGGGAGGCGTAAGGTCACTTCTGGGGAAAATCTGGAAGTGACGTCTCACTGTTGCTGATGGCGTCCCTCCTCCAATCTCCTGCTGGTTGCCAAGCAAGCTTCAAAGGGGAGGGCATTACAAAGGTGACATGCCACTACCGAAAAAGCCCCATCTCCGGTTGCCCCCTGCCTCACTTCTTCTAGCAGGGACATGGGGAACAGTGCTTGGAAAGAGGGTTTTAACTTGTAGGCAGACAGTACTGAAGCAAGGACCCTGGTCTCAAGCCATCTAGGGCCTAAAGGGATCAGCACTTGGAGATGTGCCCGGAAACAGATGGGCAGCCAGGTATAGGCTTTAATCGCCCACAGGTTTGATAGGCGTGGTGATCGTAAAAAGAAATTTGTTTAGTAAAACCATGAGATTAACTGTGAAAAAACACACACACATATATACACACACACACACACACACACATATAGGTAAAG